ATACGAGAGGTTCGCAATCTTTTTACACAGAGCTATCTTCTCTTTTGTCCCCTTCTCTCTTTTTGTGAGTTCTAACTTGATCGTCAGATGGATTTTTTGGCAACATACCCACTGGGTAGCTTGTTGTCGTTGTGTTTTTAAGTTCGACGACGTTGTTCGGGGAAACACGAAGCTTGGACGTAAAGAGTATAGAAGTGTAAAATATTTGCTCCCCGTACAATTGCCGTAATATTTGGTAGGAAAATGCTAATTACCACTGTTGGGCAGTAGTTAGTGAAGATATATATAAAAAAGAAAAAGAAAATTTAAATATATGAAATATATATAATAAAAAATACATTGAAATTCTTATGTTTTTGACATATTTTGTCCTTAAGAATTGTCGAGTGGGCACTCATGAAGAGAACTCTATTGAATACCAAAAGGTTATGTTTTTATCCGTTTAAGAATTAGGCATTCAACTCCCTAAACACAAATCTCAAATCTCAAACCTTCCTACTCACGCAAAAGTACAATCACTGAAGGTATGCTGAAGTTATAACCACCACCACCACCACCACCACCTAAGATAAGGTTGAATGGGGAAATAAGCTTGATAGCCAAAGGGTCAAGTCACTTATATTAAAATTCTTTAAATTGTGTTTGGTTTGAGAATTTAATAAGAGAAATAAAAATAGGAAAAAAAAAAAAAAAAAAAAAAGAAGAAATGTTGGGATTCGAATTCCAATTTATGTTTGATTGAATTAAGAAATATAGAAAGAAAAAAGTTTAAACGTGAATCTAAAAAATAAAAACTGAAATTGTATTTCTTTCTCATTTTCTTTTATCTTGTGTTTTTTATTATAACCAAACAAAAAATGAAATTGTATTTCCTTTTCCCTTTTCATTTCTCTCATTAAGACTTCCAACCAAACACAACTTAAATCTCACATAAAACTATTGTCATACAATATGTTTTAGATTAATTTTAAACCAAAACCTTTGCATTTAGTGCTAATGGTGGAAAATTGAAGCAAGCTAACATGGAGCCTTACCCTGTTTTATTTTATTTTATTAATTTGATTTTTTAATGTATAATGTATTTCTATTGGTTGTGGGTGCACATGGGTTTGTATGATTGATATCATGAAAGAAATGAGAAAATTATGCCACATGGAAGCATGAGAAGCCCCCAAATCAAGCCCTCAACTACTCATGGAGACCACCATGATATCCAAAATGATGGATTAGATAAGAAGACAAATCTTGTATTCAACCAAAACATATAATTTCTAATGAATCCAAAGTTTTATTAATGAATATATATAGAACAGAACAATACATTCAGCATCATATCATATCATATGAGCCAAATTTATTAATTTGCATGTCTTCAAGTGGAAGCACGTATCTCTCCTCTCCTTGCTGAAACATTGGTTCACACAAAATGGTGTCAACATATACATATATCTATGACTTTATCCTGAATTTCTTCAAATAATTATATATATGCAGTTAATAAATCACCATATGTGCCATCATAAAATTCAATCTCTTAGTTCTTAAATGTGTGAACAATGGACATTTTAATTGAAATGACTAAAACACTCCTGCATATAAGTAATTTAAATGTGTGAATTATGGACGTTTTCGTCATTTATTTGTAAATAAAAGCGCACTTTAACCTTTGCGTGATTTACCTCGTTGAAATTTGAAAATGAGTATATAGCCTCTTATGTCTGTCACGTGTTTTACACTTGTTAAGTTGGATGAAATGTTTAATGGTACACTTCAGTTTGCAAATCACATGGAGGTTATGTGGTCATTTTCAAATATTAGGTGGGTAAACCACAAATAACTTAAACCATAGGAGGTAAAGTGAAGTTTGTCCATGAAAAAATAATGTGTCATTTATCTTACATTAAAATGTGTGTTTTACCTTATATATCTTTATGTTTTCATATTATCTGCGTCAATAATTATTTAAAGGGTAAATGACATTGACTTTTTCTGAAATTTGGATAAAATACAATATAAGCCCACAAGTTTAGTATAATTACATTGAGTTTCCTTAAGTTTTTAATTCATATAATATTTGATTTCATTTTTATCAGAAATTCATTAGTCGTATGAGTAGAAAAATAATGTGTCATTTGTTTTACATTGTGTATCTTTATGTTTACATACTATCAGCATTAATTTTAATATATTTAACCTTGCCAAATAGAAGATTAATATAATTATGTCAAAATTATAAAATTTATTATATTTTCTCCCAACCACAAAAGAGATCATTGTGATTTATCATCATTTAAATAATAAGTAGATGAGAGGAAAATCAAGTTTACGAAAACAACAATGATTCATCCCACTAAAAATATCACCACTAATAGCACTAATGCATTAAAAAAGTAAAAAAAAAAAAAAAAAAACACAACTCGAAGACCAAAACATCACATCATTAATGACGGGACCCATTGCCACCTAATTAGTGGGAGCACTAATTAGTGCTCCCAAGCATTTTTCAAACATCACATACCAAAACATCACATCATTAATGACGGGACCCACTGCCACCTAATTAGTGGGAGCACTAATTAGTGCTCCCAAGCATTTTTCTAACGAAAAAGTGGGGATTTGGATTGGAGGCTTTTTTTTCTTGCCCTATAAGCAATTAAAATTGTCTCTTACCAAAAAAACAAAAAAAAAAAAAGAAAAAGAAAAAAAAAGAGAAAAATTTGCCACACAAACATATTCTTTGATTCTATAAAAACATACACACCAGAGAAAAAGGAGGGAGGTGACGGGATGCTTTATTATTTTTTTCTTTTTTCAATTTTTTAATTTTATTTTAATTAATAAACAACCATTGAAATTCTGATCTCAAAAGCAACCATATACATGCATGTTTCCTTCTATTTCAAATCTTTCATCAATTTGCTTGCATTCCTAAAACGCCCTTGCCACATAAGATCCATATTTTTGAAAGTGTAATTACACAAACCCTTGAGCTTCAGACAAAATATATTAAGCCTTAAAGTGTAAATAGTTTATTTATTTATTATTATTATTATTTAAAGTTACTATTAAAGGATTTGGAATTTTGATTTTCTTATTCACTAGTTAAAAGCATGGCAATCTTTAAAAATTATCTTCCACATCGTGTAAGTCTTGATGCCGAATTTGATAAATATGATTAACTCTGTATCTTTGCCAATGACACGTATAGTAAGAAACACAAAATTTGTATAGTAAAGTGAAGCCAATATGGAAACATCATTATGTAATACTACCACTGAGGTATGCTGGTAAATTGGCCACATCAATAATTTATTTTTTTATTTAGGATTAAATTTATTTTTCCTCTTTGTCGTTTAAGGATTGGAACATTTTACCTTCCTATAATTTAAATATAGTTAGAAAGTTCTCATGTGATTTTAGACTAAAGTGCTACCGTTAGTATTTTTATTCAAACTAACGGAAGGTGAATTACACACATTACATTTTAGAGTAAGTTTTGTTTTTGAAAAATTATAATGAAATTAATACATTAAAAGAACAATTTTACCCCCATTTTCTCTAAACCTAAAATTAGATTAATATGTTAATTAAAATAAAATAAATTAAACAAAAATATAATTAAATTGATCTATAAAATACAATTAAGAAATGATCTAAAATGTAATTAAATTAAAATTAGATTAATATGTTAGAAATTATAATAAATAATTAAGAATTTTAGATTAACTGTGATATAAAACATAATTAAATTAAAATTAGATTAGAAAGTTAGTAATTACAGTAAATAGTTAAATATTTAGGATTAATTGTGATCTAATATAAAATTAAATTAAAATTAGAATAAAAATTTAATAATACAATAAATAATTAAAAATTTATAATTAATTGTGATTTGATTGAATTAATAATAGACATTATAAATTATGTGTATAATAGATGAAAAAAAAGAAGAAAATAACAAAGAATATAAAGTTTGAGCGTATTATAGTTATTTCATATCTATAGTTAATGGTGTTAATGGTTGCATTTTATTCCAAAATCACATAGGAGGTACAAGACTACTTTTAATAAAGAAAAATGTTAGATATCCCAAAAATTCTACCAAATGTCTCGGACTCACACCATGTGGTCCCATGTAGGTTCCACACCCATGTGAGACATTTAGTAAAAATTTTAATAGAATTTTTGAAGTCTTTAACATTATCCTTTAAGAGATAAGGTAAGTGCTGACAAGTTATCAAGCCATACATAGGGAGGTAAAATGAATTTTGCTTTATTATTTAAAGGTTTGCAATAATATTTTTTGGATAAATTACAAATACACCCTTTGAGGTTTGCTTAAAATATAGATTGCCCCCTATGGTTAGAAAAATTACAAATACACCTTTATTAAAGTTTTTTAGTTAACAGAATTAACTAAAAAAATAAAATTAATAATTGCTCTCCTATACAATAATAAAATTACTTAAATTATTAATTGAAACATATTTTTAATATCATTAAAAACTGTTAATTGACTTCATGATTTATTAATAAAATGAACGATTTGTTATGAAATTAGAAACCTCAAGGGTGGAATTTAATTTTCAAAATCACAGGCGCGATTTGTATTTTAATAAAAAATTTGTAATTTATTCTTTTTTTTTTCTAAATTTATTCACATATTTATTTAGATGATACAATAAAAAAATTTCATTAGAACCGTGTAATGAAAGGATCTGAATCTGTATACACATATATGGGCAATGAAGAATTTCCAATTCAAAAAGGCCTGTTTGGAAAGTATGACTTATAAAATGATGGAAATTAAGCATGCCTTCCAAATTCCGTCGGGTACATACTATATATTGTTTTCAATGATTTTATTTAAAAAAATAAAGAAAAATTCCAAACAAGGCACTCGAAACTCAAAGCCTATAAGTAGCCCTCAAACCGCATCAACTCGTCACCACGATCTACTTCTTCCCCCAACCATCTCTCTCTCTCTCTCTCTCTCTCTCTCTCTGTGTGTAAAAAAAAATATGAAAATGGTGCAAGCCATGAGTTCTTCTGTTCTGACACTAGGGTCAATGATCTTCTTGTATGAATCGTTGTTAGCAAGTGCAACACCAACATACAATGTGGTTAGTTTAGGAGCAAAAGGAGATGGGAAGACAGACTCAAGCAAGGCGTTCTTGAGTGCATGGGATGGAGCTTGTGGCTCGGCATACCCGGCTACGATATACGTGCCTCAGGGAACGTACTTGATTGCATCCAAAACAATCTTTGTTGGGGACATCTGCAAGAACGCTGCCATCACCGTTCGTATCGACGGCACTCTTGTGGCTCCCTCAGATTACAATGTCCTCGGAAATAGCTTTAACTGGATTGTATTTGAGAATGTCAATGGTGTTTCTATCTATGGTGGTACACTTGACGCTCAAGGTACTGCTTTGTGGGCTTGCAAGGCTTCTGGCAAGAATTGCCCTGCTGGTGCTACGGTAATCTTTTACTGTAAATTACTCTTCTGTCTTTTTCTACCCTTACTTTGGTTGAGGGGACTGCTATCCTTTCCTTTCACAATAGGATCATTTAAGAAAAGAAACTGGGTGTTATAGAAAACTTCCAATTTTCAAAAAATGAATTGAAACTTAAATGACCAAAGTGACAATAAATGCATATTTTAAAGATCATAAAAGTATGCGCCAATTACGCTAACAATCCCTGTAGTTTGGACTTGTGTCACTTTAGTTCCTAACTTTTCAATTGTAATATATTTAACCATGAATTTTGAATCTTGTTACAAACAAGAGCAACTAAAGATGTTTCCTTTACAAATAGTCCATTTCAATGGCAAAGTCGTCATACAACTTATTTTATGTTGGTTAATTTATATGTTGTTTGAAATGTTATTTTATTTTATTTTTTTAATGAATAATGATGGCACTTTCTTAATTATAAAGTTCGGTTTAGTTTGGTTTTCAGAATCTACTTTCAAAATTCTTTTCTAAGAAACTAAAAATTAAATTGGTGAAAAAAATATTAAAAATACATCATTTTTATATAATTTTATCTTTTGAGAAAGTAGAAATAATTTTTTAAAATTAAATTTTTTGATATTTATTTTTTTAAAATTAGTTTCTATTTTTTAAAAAGTCAAATATGACGATAACTTTGATTTCACAATTAAACCAATTCATTAAATAAATAAAAAAATCCATAACTAAATATATTTCATATATTAAATATATCGATTACACATTAAAAGTCTAATAATCATCTATTACATGATAAGTATCAAAAAATATTTCTTAACAACAAAAATAACCATTTATTACATGATAATCATCCAAAAACATCAACAAAAACAACCACTCATTATATGATCATCACTTAAACACATACTAAAAATTAATTTGGTAAAAAAATAAAAATGCAATAGATTTATGATTTTTATATAATTTTATTTTTGGTGGGTGGAAATAATTTTTGAAAATTCAAAAATAACTTTTAAACATTTATTTTTATCAAACTAGTTTATATTTTATCAAATTAATGACTTTGCTCTTAAAATTGAGTATTTTTTTGTTCGCAAAGGAAACAATTTCTTTAATTATCTTTATTTGGAATGAGATTTAAAATTCAAGATTAAATGTATTATAATTAAAAGGTTAAAAATCAAAATGATACAAACTCCAAATTATAAAAACCCTTGATGTATTTGCCCTAAATGTATTTTATCCAAATTTTAATATATGATAATCTTAAAACACAATCATATGGTTGACACGTGTCAATGCTCTGAGCCACCAATGCACTGTTAGTAAAGTAAGCACATTTTTATTTTTGAGATTTGAAGAATGTAGAGCTCAAAAAATTCAATTATCGTACAAGATCTACTCTAACTATGAAACAAATATTGATGAAAAAAAGATAAATTATAAATACATCTCTGAAATTTGTTTAAAATATAGATTATTTCTTATGATTTGAAAAATTACAAATATCTCTATATTAGAATTTTTTTATTTAACGGAATTAACTAAAAAAATAAAATTAATAATTGTTCTCCTATACAATAATAAAATTACTTAAATTATTAATTGAAACATATTTTTAATATCATTAAAAACTGTTAATTGACTTGATGATTTATTAATAAAAGGGACGATTTGTTATGAAATTAGAAACCTCAGGGGGTGAAATTTAATTTTCAAAATCACAGGCGCGATTTGTATTTTAATCAAAAAATTGTAATTTATCCTTTTTTTTTTACTAAATTTATTCACATATTTATTTAGATGATATAATAAAAAAATTTCATTAGAACCGTGTAATGAAAGGATCTGAATCTGTATACAGATATACGGGCAATGAAGAATTTCCAATTCAAAAAGGCCTGTTTGGAAAGTATGACTTATAAAATGATGGAAATTAAGCATGCCTTCCAAATTCCGTCGGGTACATTCTATATATTGTTTTCAATGATTTTATTTAAAAAAATAAAGAAAAATTCCAAACAAGGCACTCAAAACTCAAAGCCTATAAGTAGCCCTCAAACCGCATCAACTCGTCACCACGATCTACTTCTTGCCCCAACCATCTCTCTCTCTCTCTAAAAAAAAAATATGAAAATGGTGCAAGCCATGAGTTCTTCTGTTCTGACACTAGTGTCAATGATCTTCTTGTGTGAATCGTTGTTAGCAAGTGCAACACCAACATACAATGTGGTTAGTTTAGGAGCAAAAGGAGATGGGAAGACAGACTCAAGCAAGGCGTTCTTGAGTGCATGGGATGGAGCTTGTGGCTCGGCATACCCGGCTACGATATACGTGCCTCAGGGAACGTACTTGATTGCATCCAAAACAATCTTTGTTGGGGACATCTGCAAGAACGCTGCCATCACCGTTCGTATCGACGGCACTCTTGTGGCTCCCTCAGATTACAATGTCCTCGGAAATAGCTTTAACTGGATTGTATTTGAGAATGTCAATGGTGTTTCTATCTATGGTGGTACACTTGACGCTCAAGGTACTGCTTTGTGGGCTTGCAAGGCTTCTGGCAAGAATTGCCCTGCTGGTGCTACGGTAATCTTTTACTGTAAATTACTCTTCTGTCTTTTTCTACCCTTACTTTGGTTGAGGGGACTGCTATCCTTTCCTTTCACAATAGGATCATTTAAAAAAAGAAACTGGGTGTTACAGAAAAATTCCAATTTTCAAAAAATGAATAAATAAATAAATTACTTTTTGGTACACTATAAGTTCTGGGTCTTCAGCAGCAGTGCAAAATTGATTCAATACAACCACTAGTGGCAATGCTATTATTGACACTGAATAACTATTATGAGTAATGAGATCAAAGTGATCTTTGACTCTGTGATTTGGGATACACTAGGCTCCAATTTTGGGTTAAGCAGACTTCTATCCATATATATATATACCAAATTATTGCAACATATATTATATATTCCTAATATTGGTTATTGTAAGCTAGTATTATAGGTCAACCAATCGCTTTCATTAGTGATTTTGTCTTGTAAGAAGAATCTTTTTTTTTTTTTTCCTAAGCAATAATAAAATAAAATAAGACAAGCTTGATTAGTGCTTTTTTTTTTTTTTTTCTAAACAATAATAAAATATAATAAGACAAGCTTGATTAGTGCTTCTCCAATATCAATAGTTATGTTTTGCTGGGACCAATAACAATATATTCCGTAAATTAGTTGCTTTTTTTATTCTTAGATGATTGATTGAAGTAATTAATTGGAACATTAAACTGCAGACCCTAGAATTCAGCAATTCGAACAACATTGTGGTCAGCGGATTAACATCACTGAATAGTCAGATGTTCCACATTGTGATCAATAGCTGCAACAATGTCAAGTTACAAGGAATGAAGGTGTCGGCGCTAGGAAACAGCCCAAACACGGACGGCATTCACGTTGCAGGATCATCCGGCGTCACCATTTTGAGTTCCAAGATTGCTACTGGGGATGATTGTATCTCCGTAGGTCCAGGCACTACCAATTTGTGGATTGAGAGCATTGGCTGCGGCCCTGGTCACGGTATTAGGTAAACATTGCTTTTATATTTCCCACATTTTGTTCGACTCTTATCACTTGCAATATATCTTTCCCTTATGTTATTTTCCCATACCACTTGTATGAAAAAGAAATAAAATTATTATACTTTGGTGCAGCATTGGGAGTCTAGGGAAGGACTCGCAAGAATCAGGAGTGCAAAATGTGACAGTTAAGACGGTTACGTTTACGGGTACACAAAATGGTTTGAGGATAAAGACATGGGCCAAGCCTAGCAGTGGATTCGTTAGGGGTGTGCTCTTCCAGCATGCTACCATGGTTAATGTTCAAAATCCTGTTATCATCGACCAAAATTACTGCCCTGGCAACACAAATTGCCCTAATCAAGTAAGATTTGTTATGTTTTCGTTGTGTCAAATTTTTTTTTTTTGGGGGGGATGCCTAAAAATAGTAGCAATTTTCATTTACACACATCATTGTTTGCTAAGCATCAAACAAGGTGACGTAGGGGAGTTTTTATTGTCAGGGCCCTTGTTCATGTCACATTTGTGCTGGACAATCTAAAATCCATTTGTTAAAAATGAAACTAAATGGAACTCCTCTTCTCCCTAGCCCCTATGTTAAAATGTTAAAATCAAGCCTTTTAACATTGGACCCATAATTGGATAATTGTTTGTATATTTGGATTTCACCCGACTAGTATTTACCTTGATTTTAATACTTTTTAATTTTATTTTATTTATATATTTGGCAGGTGTCGGGTGTGAAGATCAGCGACGTGACATATCAGGACATTCATGGGACATCAGCGACAGAAGTTGCTGTGAATTTTGATTGTAGCAAACAGAATCCATGCAGCAAGATAATATTAGAAGATGTGAACCTCATATATATGAATCAACCAGCTCAAGCTTCATGTGTCAATGCTGAAGGAACTTCTTCTGGTACAGTTCAGCCCACAAGTTGCTTGTAGCTACTTGCAATGATGGAGAAGAAAGTTAAAAGAGGAAAAACATATGTTTTTATCCCACTAAATATTTTTGTCACACAAATGTGTAGTTTAAGTTTGAGTTTTATAGTATAATATCTCAAAAAATTGAACGTGCTTGCTTGAGCCTGCGGCGGTATCAGCCCAATAATGGGCCTAGAGCCTGGCCTTACAAGTGCCTGCAGTTCAGTTCCCATTTTTGGGGTAGAAAATTATTGTGAGAGCATATGCTTTTCTTCAATGAATTAATTATTACTTTAATCTTATTTTCGTTCTATGTTTTTTTCTCCGAAAAAAAGACTTTATTGTTGGAAAGATATTGTACTAGCATAAGATCATACACCAATAAAGAGGGATGAATGCAAAAGATATCATATCAAAATTAAACCATCCTAACTAGATTGGCATTGCGTAACTAGCCCAATTATATACTAGTATGCTACCAGGTAGGTGAGATACCAATCAACAAGAACGGAAGCAAACAAAAGCAAAAGGGAGGAAGCACAATGAAACAATCATGACTCACATTGTTGTGATTTAAAAAAATTACAATATTATAATTTTTATAAAGTCCAAACTTATTGGTTGTTTTAAAAAAAATTGTTATCATGTTTTAAAGTTTTGAGTGTGGAATCCAATGAGTTAAAATTTTATAAACAAATTGTATATCTAAAAAACACATACACACACATAGTTGCATCAAAATAGGTTTAATAGGACAAGTGAGAGAAAGTTCGTTTTACATTTTGGTGTAGCCCACTAGACTTATCTTTTACATGTTTTATGATATTAACACTCCACAATTAGACCAGACCAATATTTTAGATAAAATTCAGAAATTAGTATTTTGAATGAGATAATTATTCTTTTAATATAAGAAGGAAATGTGACAGACTGACATTCTTCTAATATAATTTACCTGACCCTCTTCTGTCCTTTATAAAAGGATTGATCACTCCCTTTCAATGTACTTATTATTTTTTCATCATTAAAAAGTATTGCAGTCACTCTAATTAAGACAGACAGAGAGAAATATGTGAACCAAGAATTTAAATATTTGACTAAAGGACCATTTTCTCAACTCTCTCTAGTTCAATAGTCAATAAAAGGTATGCTCATTTTATTCTTGAGATGTGTTGAATTTAAGATATTATTAGGTTTAATTTTTGCATAATTATTATGGTTAGAACTTACGATATATTAATTTCTTACATTCCTAACCAAAATATAAATAAATAAGAAAATTCAAATCCAAACTATCAAGAAAAATGTTAACCAACAAAAAAATAGCTTAAGAAAATAAATTCTAAATAAAACACTGATTTTCTTTATTTACTTTCCTTTTTAGATTGCCACTAGTCTTGTTTTAGACTCTACCAACATCAAACTTGCGCCAAAAAAGTCCAAAACTATTGGAGGCACAAAGCGTGGGAAATTCTATTTCCAAACATTTAACTACCTCAACATACACACTTAATGAAATATTATTTTAATGACAATTATATCCTAAATTAAAATGACCATAATGGACATCTACCAACACCTACAATATTATATGAAAATATTCTCTGTACACATCTTTCAAAAATAAGATGTCCATGGAAAGAATAAAATGATGTAAAATTATTCGTAAACATAATATGGCCACATAAACTACTCTGCTGGGCAACATATCAAAAAAGAGCAGAAGCTGTATCAAAATTTTGGAGAAAATGAAAATGTGCAGTAACTGTTATGTAATATTTGTACATACAGATAATCAAAAGGAGCCACATTACAATTTTTTGGCTCTCCAAAAAATAGTTATTCAATCTTCCAGCACCGATCAACTTGTGTAATTGATCAGGCAACCAATCAATGAATATTCTACACTAAAATGTTACAAAAACAGATGATTTTTATGTGAAATTTTCTGCTAAGAAAATGCTATCAACAAACTTTATTTCCCTATGTTTATGCAGTGGCGTTTGTACAAAAGAATTTTAAACAAGAATTTGAGACTTTGCTGCACCTTGAGAGCAATTTTTGCGGCCGGATTTGCTAAGAGCACAAACACAAATCTCTAGAAGTTCATAGTCTTCCTCCCAGAATAAAAGAGAAGCCATCTCTGGATTTTCCAAAAGAATTTTTGTAGTCAGGTACCCAGCAATCAACCACGTTTGGTAAAGTCAAGCTTGCTTTCCTATAAATTTTCCATTTCTTATGCGGAAAGAATAAGATGTCTATGGAAAGAATGCGTTACCTTCAACAATATTTTGGAATGGAGGTTGAATATGGTCTTCAATGGAGGAAAAGTGTCTCACTGCAGACCAAAGTCTTTCAACGGGTGTTCATGTGGGTGGGTCTACACTTGTGGACATAGGATCAATGAACAAGTGTGTGGAAATGAGTGTTTGGTGTGTGTACAATGGTTATGAGTGAAAGGTGTAATTGTAACTTTCAGTGTATGGATATTAAGTGATAATCAAATTAATAAGTGTGTATACTGAGAAAAGATGTGCACTGAGGTAATTAAGTATGTGGAAATAGAATTTCCCACAAAGCTTGCCTTCCGTTCACATTGCTGGAGGGTAACATGATAATTAGACCACATCTGCCAAGAGTTCGAAACCTAAACTGAGAACTAATCTCTACATGTATATTTAAGTTTCACTATGTCGTTTAGAATAAAAGTTTTAAAAATTTCATATTAATTCAAAACAAATACTAAAATTAAAAATATTTATCTAACAATATGCCTAAGTAAAGTTGTTATATACACAGTTCATAATTAAGAATAATTTATAAATTGATATAAATTTCATATAACTAAGTCACAAAAGATTAAAAATTATTGTCCAATATACCATTTATATCACAATTAAAATTAAAGTAAACTACATAAAGATCAAAATTAATATAGATGATATGAAAATATAAAATAAATAATATGAAATATACATTTCAATATAGAAGGGATGACAATAGTATATTTTTTCATTTATTTAACTAATAAATTATTAATGAGAAGAGAGCTATGCAAATTACCTTTACCACTTCGATTTGATTGTGGCCCAGTGCCAGTATGCTGTTGTTGTCTTAGGGCTGGTGGGCTAGTGTCTTTGTTTGCTGATTCGTGGTACTTATGCTAGGTTAGATGTTGTTGGGTAAGGATTTAAGTGTTTTACTTGGTACTTCCAACTTAATTTTGGATTAGGGACAGTAGGGGTTATGCTGTGTTTGTTGTTTTGTTTGTTTCTAATTTTGTTGCAGTTGACTTCTTGCCAACATTTGTTTGCAAGAGTGTGCACATGATTTGTTGTTATGATTTGGATTTGTTATGATGCATTCTTTTTAATTTATTTTATTTTATTTTGATCAACAAAAAAGAAACTTTATTGATGTAAGAATCAAGTACAAAGTACACAACACCAACCATCAATAAAGAAAAGGAGAGTGCGAAAATATCATAATGAGCTAGTTTATCCCAATTAAGTTGGCACCAAAAAGTCCATCCAATCATTTGCTAGCACCTCCAGAGTTGGTAAGAAACCAACAAGAAAAACAGACCAACCACCACCACAACAACAACACAGCTGAGCAAGCAGCAAACTCAGCCTTTGCAGCCAAACTCAACCACCAAACCGATGTTGCTGCTAGTTGAGGACGATAACAAACACACCAACAGTAGAGCATACCAGAATCTAACACAGACCTATAACTGAGCCAACATAACACAACAGACCCAAATAGACCAACAACATACCACTGGCAGAACTTAGCATACCAACATAATAGACCACAACCTAAGCATAGCAGACTAGCAGCAACCAGCAGGATTTGCCTCCTAAGTATAACTGAGCAGCCAAGAAGTAAAGCACCCAAAAGAAAAACACCATAGAGACCATCACAGCAGAGCACACCAGAGACCATTTCAGCAGCAACTATGCTCAGCCCATCCTCAGCCAGCTAGACATAGTCCAGTGTACACTGCTTCATATGGAAATTTAGCCAATTAAACAAACTGACATATGGAAAATGCAGCTTCCATTCCTAATGCAATATTGAACCTGGAGCACACAAATCAACAGTCAGCACCACTGCAGAGCAATCTGCCATTAGTCTTGAACACCAGTCACTCACCCTCTAGTTCTGATACAATGCTTAACTTGTGGCAGATTAAAGACCAAGTCATTAATAGAATACTCCACCTGAATTGGCTACGCTTTGAGCCATATGGCTACTCTTAGCTTCACAATTTCACACAAATCCTCCAAATTTGGTTGAAAGCCATTAAAGATGCAATCATTTCTATGCTTCCCAATAGACCAAAGGATAGCCAGAGGTAGAACCATCCAAATTTTCTTTTCCAGCTTTTTCATTCTACAACCAAGCTACCATTGCAACAGGCCAGTCACCGAACTTGGTATTACCCATTGCAAACCCCACCATCTTACAATGTTGGACCACAACAACCAGACAAAAGGGAAAAAGAGTAAGATATGATCCACTGTTTCAATCTCATTTTGACAGAAAACACAAGCAAGATTAGCACTGCCATCTAAGATTCCAATCCTATGGAGAAAACTAGAAGTTTTAACCTTGCCAAACCAAGCCAAGCATCCAAACAATTGCACTTTGGGAGGAGAAAATTGTTCCAGATTGAGTTAGCCACTGCTAGTATAGGCCCCAAGAGTGATTCACTCCAATTGTAGGCTGAGGGAACACTAAATACCTCAGATGGATCTGAACTCCATTTTAACTGATCTGATTTGTTGTTACAGACTGCTGGAGCACTACGAAAAAAATTGAATAATCTCTGAGCTTCTTCCTCTTCCCAGGCCAGCAAGGATATTTTGAAATTTATAATCCATCCACCAGCATTTGACCGTTGCTCAAAGAACACCTTTACCACACCATTTTTATTAGTAGATAAAGAAAATAGTCTAGGGATTCATCCATCAAACACACATTACCAACCCACTTATCCATCCAGAATTGAACTCTCATCCCATCCCCCAGAACAATATGAGAGTTATTGATATAAAAACTATGCAGTTCTGGATTGGACACAACAGTAGTGGTGATATCAGACCAAATTTTGGAGCCTCTACCTACAATATTTGGTAACCATCTTCCATCCCTAGCATCATGCTTATGACAAATCACTTCCTTCCAAAATTCTTAGCACCAAACTGCCACCACCATTTCAACAGGAGACAT